CTAATTTCCATCCATCCATCCATCCATTTTCATCCGCTTATCCGTTACCGGGTCGCGGGGGCAGCAGTCGCCACCCAAATCACATTGCACCGTACCAAACCTTCCTGCGGGTGGTGAGTCCACTGGAAGGTACCAACCGCCCTAATCGGGATTCGAACTTGCCCAGGAGGTGAACCCTGGGGTTCCACACCAATGACAGAGACATCGCCTCTGGGCCAAAGCGCCACTCTTCTAATTTCTAATAAGGAAATCATGGCCAATTTCCTACAACAAGGACAAAAATACACTTTTTCCACCAACTATAATGTTAGATAACAATAGCTTTAAACATTAAGAACAAATAAATTATCTTGTTTTAAAGCCAAACACCAAAACATGGAACACGGTATGCTACTGCCTTTGGAGTGATAAAAAGGCTACTATTTTCTTAATTTATTATAAAGAAAAGGTGTCATCAATATCCACAGTCTCTTGATATGCACACATGTAAAATGAAGGGCTGAGATATAGGGTCTAATGATTGATGGATGTGCAAAAAAAAAATGACTCATTCACAATGACTGGACGTATTTCACACAGATTTGTCCTATTAAATTCATTCCTATTCATTATATGTATATTTTGATAGTTTTGTGGCAACACCAGCAGTCATTTACACATAAAGTAAAATGCAGTATTTGTGTATTTGTGCAAGAAAGTTAGTTGTCACAATCAAGAGTTAACATCTAGTCCAGTTACCACATTCACCAGAGTCATCTATGTTAAATAACCATGTATAACACTGATGACTGATGAAGTGATTCACTCCAAGTGTAGAAAACTGTATTCATCTTTTTCTTAGGTCAGGACACATTTTTAAACTGAGCTCAAGGAAAAACATGTTATGATGCAGGAAAATTTTGGATTTAAATTAAACAAATGTTGTTGGCACTTTCTAAGTTTACACAGTCAAGTTTCATGTCTGCAGGGGCTGACGTTACACACCCATATCCTTCTTCACATCAACATGAAGATGACATTATCATCCAAATCAAACATGTGAAGTTTCAGTTCACACCCTTAGGCTCTGGCTGTCTTTAACAAATATGTGACACCATATCTTATTACGTAGCCTTTTCAGAATACATGTGTATAAATGGCAGCCCAAAAGGTGCAATAAAGCAGTTTTTGGGAAATCAGAGGATTGTCATTTTTCTGTTATCCCTCTTCAAATAGTTACCTTATCTCACCCAAAACTAATGGGGCAAAGTACCTCTGCACATTGTTGGTGTTTGCGAGGACGCTGTCCAAATAATAGCTTAAAATGTCATAAATAAAACCCCTGGTGTTGAACCGAAATCTCATAATTAAACATAAACTGTCAGAGTGACTAGATTGTTTTTTGACATCCATTGCTTGTATTTTACAGGCAATTTAGCATTGTAGCATGGTTTTATTTTTATAGCTGTAAGGAACAAAACGTTTATTTTTTTTCTCGATCTAATATTAAGACTTTGATACTTTTAGATTTTACAACAAATATTTTACAGAAAAGTATTTTATTAACTTACTAAGGACTACACACACTCTAGGGCCAAGTAGAGTAGACCTTCATTTTTTTAAAGACCTAATGCTACATACCTTAAGGCCTCATTTGTAACAACACACCACAAATTCAGTTCATGTGTTTACCCTTGTTTAACTAATCCTGTTATAAGTTGACTGAGTTCATTTCGGACCTATACGTTCTCGACCGCATTTTAACATTCGAAAGATCAGGAACACCATTCTGTTCTTAGAATACATTGAATGCTTACTGGGCAAAGCAAATGACCTGGTGCAATTCCAGTGGTAAATTAAAGAATTATGGGAATGAGTCTTTAACTCAATAACACTTTGATGACCACTGAAAAAAATGATCTATACTCTCTTGACATCATGACAGCGAACGTTAAATGAAACCATCTTTAGTGAGGCAGAAATGAATTGTATACTAGCGTAAAATATCTTAAATGTCCAAGACTAGTTTTCAAACCTATCTCATCCTGCCATACATGAGGTAAAGGGCTAGTAAAGGAAATTGCCAAGTAATGTAGCAACCTTTTTTTTAATCACTGACATCAATGTCAACTCAACTTGCCATAACTATTTGGCAACTCCAAATAAATTCAGGAACTACTACAAAGACTCTTTTGGTAGAGATTTGCTCAACTTGTGGAAATAAAGAAAGGAAGACGGCAGACATTATATCAGGGTGGCCTCTGCAAATGTTGTTCCTCTTATATTGTCAACAAAGAACTGTATAGTAATGGTATAGCCTAATGTTCTGAGATTGATACAAGCATGTTAATAATTGATTCTCCAACAGATGAACTGACTGACAATGGGCCACAATTTTGTGTTGCATAGAGTGATATGCATGCATAAGTATGAAAGCCGACGACATTTGACGTTTACAGTGTACTGCAAAATGTCAACTGCAATGACAAAGTTAGTATGTGTTTAAATATGGTTAACCATAC